ACAAAGATAGGATCCTGTGCTTGTTTTTGAATTTTTCTATCACTCCATATATGAAGGAAACCGATGATAATATTTAGAAATATGCCACACATGTTGTTACGTCGACATTTCCAATTAAATAACACCTCAATTGTTTAGAAATAACTGTATCCAGTGACTGGTATGCACTGATATGTTGTATTCCTCCTCCATCATGGAGGCACTGTATAGCCATGCTATCAATCGATTTGTTAAATCTGATTAAATATTACAAAAAAAACAGATTTAACTCACAGCCAAACATGTATGCTTTTCAATATATTTGTTTAATGATATATGTTCCACCAGTGATATAATTTCGTCCACTAAAAATGCATTTCAAGATGCTGCACAGAAACCGTAAATATTTATTTTCATAGACAAAAAGAGGCATTCAGTCATCGGTAGAAAAAAACAAGAATGTCTTGAGCCCGGACTTATACAAGGTGCAGGGAGTTGATAGCATCGATGGCTGGGGGGAAGGAACTTCCAGACTTTAAGGGCAGCAGAAGAGTAGTGTGCGGGGGTTTTGTGACAGCAAGTCACGAAGATTGCTGGGCACACAGAATCCAAGAGAAGAGTGGTAGGCAGGGGTGAGTCTGGGATTAGTTTGGGTGGGCAAATCGAGGGATTGGACCACTGCAGTGGTGTGGTCACGTTTATAAGTGTAGGTGAGGAGCCTGGCAGCATCATTTTGGGTTCTGAAAATATGTATCCAAAAATGCAAATCAAACGTTAATATCCATCAGAATGACCGTGAAGAAAAGTCAGTGGGTTTGGGCAGCAGACCGCTTGGAATGTTGATAGCGAATGGAAGAGACCCAGCGGGCCCATGGTAAGTCGTGATGGATATGTGGGACCTTCATCCAGCAGTGGATAGAACATGATTGATGACAATACCTTATATATCCAATGCATATAATGCATAGTAATATGCAACGTAACGTAATACACTATGGTATTATTATTATATACTCAAGGCTTTTTCAAATAGTTGCACATGTGCGTGTACAATGATGTGGTAATTTATTTGACTGGCATGCTCATTTCACGTTAATTTCTTTAAAAGTATTGAGTCTTAAAACATTCCTGTGATTAATTTGACAGTATTCTCAATTCAAGGTTTTGAACTCTGCCAAAGTTTAATCATGAATGGCTTCAGTTAGATAAATGTTACATAAATGTGTCAGTGTTTAACAAAAGCTGTTAGGAACTCGTCATTTCGAGCATGAAGGCTCTAGTCTTTAACAAAGAGCAAATGTATCATGAGTGTCTATGGTACTTACACTATGTAAATGCGGTGCGTCCAAGATGTGAACTGTCCCTAACAGTCGGAGTATCTCAATGTGCAGGGTGATCCATTTACAGATACCACACTGATTCATAAATGACCCTCGGCTTATGCGTCATTCCATGTTGTAAGTATATCAGGCCGACTCTCTCGTACAAATTGTGCCAGGAGAGATTTGAAACAGACTTAACCATTGTTTCGAGATTGGTCGGAGACACGTAGACGCTTTGGGAGAAAATTACGTGTTCTGTATAATGTTCAGCCGATTGTTTTAGTGGCGTGTGTAGACAATTTACCTTGTATAACAGCACAATAACACAACACAATTCATGCATTTTTTAAATAAAGGTTTGATTGTGGTAATGCATGTCATAGGCATTTCCACCAAATTCTCTAGAAATACACCCAATCGTTTTTAAAAGCCAAGTGCTGTAAGTGGCGTTGCCAATGTTACAGATTGCCATATTGAATTTCTGCTTGTCAAAATTATAGCTTTCGACTTCCAAAATTGCAGTTTACCGAATATACTTTTCGTTACTCTGACAATATTTAGTTGAGAAATAATAGATTTTAGTCCAGTAATAACCTTTCCTACCCAATAATAAACAAGACATCACAGTTCATTAACTCGTATACAATGCTCAGCCAAGATATAGTGTGTGCATAACAAGCAAATAAATGTACAAAAAATGCATTCAAGCAAACACATATACAACACACACGCCGTACAAAAATGTGTTTACAGTTTAAATACAATGTGTTTTTCGAGTGGAACCGAATGTTGTTCGCACGACGTCCCTTACGTCTTGCTCAATGTGCTGCGAGTAACTCAGTGAACTGAATTTCCGAATTGATCATGAGGCTATCCACATATACAAGCACAGAGACAATTTCAACCGAGAAGATGGATTCTGGCTTAGCAATCATTGGAAGGATTTGATCAACCATTTCAGGTCTTAATTGATTGTTCACGCTTACGGTGGCTTTCAGACGGCATACATACATTTTTCGTCTCCCCCCTCCTCTTCTCAGAACATAGATGGACTCGTCCTTCTAAATAAACTGCCAAATCGCTGCGCGTGGCGCTGACGTTTTTTTATAAATAAATACACCGTTTAAAAATAAATTAATTAATGCAAACCGACACACCTGATGACGACCGTTTGTGTCATGGTCGAAACGTCGTGAGAATTTTTACTGTTTTATATATATTTTATTATTTTATTGTTTCCCTTCAACGTGACTTTACCGAAAGAGCTAAGAATATGATCCCAGAAGGTTGAGCAATGTCCGACATTTCACTCAACGCGCCTTGTCAGCGCCGACCAACAACACACGGTACAACCCGAAAACACATTGGAGCACTTCCCTCAAGAAGCTGCCAGCAGATGGAGCGAACCGTAGGACATTGTTCCCAACAGCACGCGGTACAACCCGAAAACACACCAGAGCGTTGTACAGCATCAGAACTGCAAAAAATGCCACGCAAGTAGTATACAGTGTAAATCTTCGCGAAATTATAATGAGCGTTTGGATTGTACGTGGGTGAAGTAGCCACAAATTGGTGCAAGGCACTCATCAATAAAGACTTGTGCATAATTTGTCGAGAGTGCTTCGCGCTTTATCACTTGGAAAATCCATCACCTCCAGTCACATTTTATCTCTTTGTTAATTAAACTTAAGAATTGTACTAAAAAAACATGGGTTTTTTTAGTGCAATTCTTCACTCTTTACACATAGCTATCTATAGTTGCTCAGGGATTCCAAAATGAATGGAACGCGTAAGCCCAATTATAGCACATATTGCCATGATGTTTTTTTTAATGTGCAGTATAAATGTGAAGGGAACTATAAAGGTTAAAGAAGATTGGTAAACTTTTTTTACCGTTTTTTTTTTAAATAAACAAACTAAAATATATTCTTGGTTCTTTCAGTAAAGTCACGTAGAATGGAAACAATAAAATAATATTATTATAAAATAATATTATTATTATAAAATAATATTCTTTTATTGATAAAGCGCGAAGCACTCTCGACAATAATATTATAAAATAATATAATTTTATTGTTTCCCTTCTATGAATCCCTGCAGTCACGAAAGCTTTAAATCAAAATTAAACTAAAATATATTATAATATTCGTCGCGACAGCCTACGTGTTAAACTGACTAACCTCTATGGGAAAGATACTTTTCGGCACACATGAAAATTGGAGAAACTCTGCATCAAGCGAATAAAGCGGATGTCTTCACTCTATTTAAGACCAAAACAGGAGGAGGATTTCTTCTCCACAACTCTGGCTGTCGCCCGATGATGCAGGTTGTAATTACCGGTGAAACGTCATACTCAAATTGTAGATGTTGTGGGTTTAATCTCCAACACACAACCAGTGTGCTGAACGAGTAACACATTGGGACGTTTTGTTTATGTGATAAACCTTTACTAATTGGCTATGTTGGGTGGTGGTGGCGGGTTTAACGACACATTTATATTTACGCGATTTAACTCTGAAATATAATATGCCACGTTCATTGTTTTATATTTTTATTATTTTATTGTTTACCTTCTACGTGACTTTACCGAAAGAACCAAGAATATAACATGCCACGTTAAGTGTATATTATTAACTGTGCATCTGGAAACCCATTTTTTCCCGCTCGCTTGCACTTACACTTGACAAGCAATGAGAATCATATCTCACACACGGTACACACAATCACACTCTCCTGCAAAGATGAAACAAACGTCAAAATGAAAGGTATGCATATTTCAGAGTAAAGGATGCCCCAGAAGTTAGTGATGTATTGATACACGTAGACCTTTGATGCGCACTGCGCGCGCGCATACACACACAGGTGTTGGTGACATTTCGTATTGGCATATTGTTAGGTCGATAAGATGCATATTGCACTTTTAAACGTCGATTGAACCTCCGATTAGCACGGTTGGCTACGTACGGTGCAAAAGAAGTTGAACATACATACAACATACATGTGTATCCATGGTTATCATAAAAACACATCACTCTATTAACATCATAATCAAACATAGTTTAAAAATACAAATGTAATGTTGTCTTTTGCCTTTCCACCAGATAATGAGATGATTAAAACATAATTATACGTGTCATGTTTGAGCCTGAATTTGTATTTCCTTTTTCCATTAACATTGCATTCACTTTCTACAAATATTCTTTTGTCGTTGGCATACGTGCATTTGATGCGTGTTATACTTTGATATTGTACTCTGCCGATGCATCTTGTCACTATAAACTACAATGTGCACAAATATCAATTACTATTCACTGTGAATTTTTACGACCAAATCAGCCGTAAATGTGCCCAATCTTTGAAAATCTCGGAAAGCCGGATAGTGCCTTAATGAGTGACCAACCATGCGCATCACAGGCGTTGCAAGCTGCCACTATGCTACGTTGTCAACAGAGGGCAGTGCAGCAAAATTATTAGTTGTACTGTACCATGCACCTATCTCTATGCTCCCCATCAGTCGATACAATTGCCTGCAATGTTTTAGTTTGTTTAGTTTGTTCGTGTACGCAGTAATGCTATCGCATCATTGCATACTGCCATCTGTCAAATGGGGTGAATGTGTCAACAACAAAGCACACTTTTTCGGAGGTTTGATGGCAAGCGTTTATTCGCGTGTACCTTTCCTCCCCTTTTTTTGTCCAGGTTTCCCCAGCCTGCCAGTACGCGTACGTGCAGGGAAACGAGAGCAGAGGCTCAGTGCGTGCTCGAATCCAAGTCAGTTACGAGCACCTGCGCTCCTCCGTCGATCTTGCAGTGTGGCTGCCCAGGCTCCCTTTGCGAATACAGCTCTCGGACACTGAGCTCAGCCTCATACGGGGCTGGAAGATACCTCTGTCCAGGTACTGCACCCTCCCCCCGCCCCGCCCCCCCCCCCCCCCCCCAACGTGCACGTTGCATTAAAATGTATATCCTCACTGAATTTTTAGATGGAGAGAAAAGAAAAAGCATGTCTTAATTGAGGAACAACGAGAATGGGTCATTTATTTCTGTTCATTCTTGGCTGGAGGTCACACGTACTGGCTGGAGGTTACACGTATTGGCTGGAGGTTACACGTATTGGCTGGAGGTTACACGTATTGCCTGGAGGTTACACGTATTGGCTGGAGGTTACACGTATTGGCTGGAGGTTACACGTATTGGCTGGCGGTTACACGTATTGGCTGGAGGTTACACGTATTGGCTGGAGGTTACACGTATTGGCTGGAGGTTACACGTATTGGCTGGCGGTTACACGTATTGGCTGGAGGTTACCCGTGTTGGCTGGAGGTTACACGTATTTGCTGGAGGTTACACGTATTGGCTGGAGGTTACACATATTGGCTGGAGGTTACCCGTGTTGGCTGGAGGTTACACGTATTGGCTGGAGGTTACACGTATTGGCTGGAGGTTACACGTATTGGCTGGAGGTTACACGTATTAAGACCGCGGTGCGTGGAAAAATGCAATGTTTCAACGCGCGATGTTCCCGCGTTCATGCGCCCACGTTTCTTTTCTCCCCACTTTCACCAACCCACACTGACCAGCGCGGTAATGTTACGGTTAAATAACACGCGTGACCCGCACCGCGTGGGGAGCGCCTTCGTCCGGGAGGGGATCGGCAAACATGCGTACATGTCTACGTACACGTCTGCGTACATGTACAGCTAACGTGGTTTGTATTGATCTCGCAACAATCCTGCCTCAACTGTGAATAACCCAACCAATTATAATAGATAGATCCATTGCAATTTATATATGACTACATTAACCCCGCCCCTCTGGCCTTCACACCTGATTGGCTCACAAGTGACGACGTCACATTTATACCCCCTCTACGTAAGACCGAAACAGGAGGAGGATTTCGATTTAAAGCTTTCGTGACTGCAATGATTCATCTTCTTTGGTTCTTTCGGTAAAGTCACGTAGAATGAGAATAAAATAATAAATTGATAAAATAAAATAACACAATAATATTCTCACGACGTTTCGGCCACAACACAAGCGGCCTTCATCAGGTGAAGGGAGCGAGACTGTCTGGTAGGACAGCGCTGGAGTGAGAGAGCCACGTTCAGATCACGGCTTTTAAGCTGTGTGAGAGGAACAAAGAGCCTTGACGAAGGAATTAGCATAAAATTTAGCATTGAAAAGGCTGAATGATTAGCTTGTGACTGGTCACAGAAATAGCTATGTTAAAAGTTAAAGCATACACATCCGCAGAGGCACCCATTGTTAAAAGGAATTAGCATAGAATTTAGCATTGAAATAGCTAAATTAAGGCATTCGCTTGTAACTGCTACAGAAATAGTTACGTTGAAGTCAGAGCATACACATTCACCGAGGCACTTAGTACAAATCAAAACAGGAGAATTTAGCATTGAAATAACTAGGCGAATTTAGCATTAAAATAACTGGGTGATTTGCTAGTGACTGGTCACAGAAATGACTACACATCTGAGCTATTCACAGTACTATATAGTGAACCAATAAAAACTAAAATATAAATTACCTTCATGTTATCAATAAACTCTATATTCTCCAATCAGCTAAGCTACCAACCATAAGTCGTTATATATCACAATGCTATATGGCGAAAAAATGGGTGGATTCTTACCCTCAAATTTCCGTACCACGGATAGCTACGGGCCCCGTTCAGACGGACGAGTTCGTCCATGGTCGGAACAGAGGAGGGGGAGAGAGACAGCTGCGAAGCCCTAGTATACTCCATGTTGTAAACCATACCATTAACCGTGGTGTGAGAGGTATTAAGAGGCAATGCTGGCGAAAGAGCTGCGGTCTGAAGGTCATCGTAAAATTACAATTAATTAAGAACAGAAATGATTTAACACATCTTTCCAGTGGTTACTAAGCCTGAATCCATCTTCTCGGTTGAAATTGTCTCTGTGCTTGTATATGTGAATGGCCTCATGAACGAATCTCTCATGGTAGCCAGTTGGTTTGCAAAGAACCTCCGTCTTGGAGAAGTCAATGTCAGAATATAACAACAAAATTCAAGAACTACTCAACGATGGCAGCTATACAAAAATAAAAAGAGATCCCACCAACAGCCTGGTCACCAAAACGAACAAAATTATCTCTGATTCAACAGCATTAATTGATGAGAACAAACAGTTCTTGTTGAAACCCTCTGCTGCCAGACCACCAAGATTATATGGCCTTCCAAAGATACACAAAGAAGATACACCCCTTCGTCCCATCGTCTCTACTATCAGCTCCCCCACCTACAAACTGGCACGTTTTCTGGCTGATATACTGCGACCTTTCACTGGAAAAACCACCTCTGCGGTACTAAATTCTACTCACCTGGTATCGACAATCAAAGACATTTCCCTGTCCCCAAACGACCTGCTTGTCAGTTTTGATGTGGTGTCCTTGTTCACCAAAGTCCCGGTACCTGACACCATCGCTATCATTGAAGACCTGGTTCATCAAGGACTGCATACTGATGTACCCCCCCTGGTGAGACATTGCTTAACCAACACATACTTCACCTGGAATGGAACTTTCTACAAACAAACTGAGGGCACCCCAATGGGCTCCCCCCTATCTCCGGTTGTAGCCAACGTATTCATGGAAAAATTTGAAACTGACGCCATCCAGACTGCCACTCTACGCCCGACCTTATGGAAGAGGTACGTTGATGACACCTTTGTCATCTGGCCACATGGCCAGCCTGCTCTAGACCAATTCCGCGACCACATCAATTCCATACACCCAGCCATCAGATTTACCATGGAGGTCGAAAAAGATGGCAAACTACCCTTTCTGGATGTCTTAATTAAAAGGAGACATGATGGTTCAATGAGCCACTCTGTCTACAGGAAAGCTACCCACACAGATGCTTACTTGAAACCGGATTCCCACCACCATCCATCCCAGAAGAACTGCCTCATCAAGACTCTATACCATAGAGCCCAATGCATTTCCGACCAGGAACACATTACCAGTGAACTCAAGCACGTACACCAGGCTCTCAGGGCTAATGGCTACTCCGACTACACAATCCGCAAAGCCATCACTCCAGTCATGAAGAAGGATCCTCTTGTGGAGCCACTCAAAACCATCACCTTACCCTACATTGCAGGGGTCACTAAAAAGATCTCCAAAATCCTGAATAAACACAAGATCCAGGTCCGATTCAACACAGTACACAAAATCCGTGATTTAGTTCCATCTGTAAAAGATGCTCTTCCAGACATACAGTACCCGGGCGTTTACAAACTAAAGTGCCTCTGTGGTAGTAGCTGCATTGGAGAAACCAAAAGACATATCTCGGACCGCATCCGCGAACATAAAGCAGACTTGAAACACGGTAAGACGAACTCCTCTGCCGTGGCAGATCACTGTTACAATTCAGTGGGCTCACATGACATTGACTTCTCCAAGACGGAGGTTCTTTGCAAACCAACTGGCTATCATGAGAGATTCGTTCATGAGGCCATTCACATATACAAGCACAGAGACAATTTTAACCGAGAAGATGGATTCAGGCTTAGTAACCACTGGAAAGATGTGTTAAATCATTTCTGTTCTTAATTAATTGTAATTTTACGATGACCTTCAGACCGCAGCTCTTTCGCCAGCATTGCCTCTTAATACCTCTCACACCACGGTTAATGGTATGGTTTACAACATGGAGTATACTAGGGCTTCGCAGCTGTCTCTCTCCCCCTCCTCTGTTCCGACCATGGCCGAACTCGTCCGTCTGAACGGGGCCCGTAGCTATCCGTGGTACGGAAATTTGAGGGTAAGAATCCACCCATTTTTTCGCCATATAGCATTGTGATATATAACGACTTATGGTTGGTAGCTTAGCTGATTGGAGAATATAGAGTTTATTGATAACATGAAGGTAATTTATATTTTAGTTTTTATTGGTTCACTATATAGTACTGTGAATAGCTCAGATGTGTAGTCATTTCTGTGACCAGTCACTAGCAAATCACCCAGTTATTTCAATGCTAAATTCGCCTAGTTATTTCAATGCTAAATTCTCCTGTTTTGATTTGTACTAAGTGCCTCGGTGAATGTGTATGCTCTGACTTCAACGTAACTATTTCTGTAGCAGTTACAAGCGAATGCCTTAATTTAGCTATTTCAATGCTAAATTCTATGCTAATTCCTTTTAACAATGGGTGCCTCTGCGGATGTGTATGCTTTAACTTTTAACATAGCTATTTCTGTGACCAGTCGCAAGCTAATCATTCAGCCTTTTCAATGCTAAATTTTATGCTAATTCCTTCGTCAAGGCTCTTTGTTCCTCTCACACAGCTTAAAAGCCGTGATCTGAACGTGACTCTCTCACTCCAGCGCTGTCCTACCAGACAGTCTCGCTCCCTTCACCTGATGAAGGCCGCTTGTGTTGTGGCCGAAACGTCGTGAGAATATTATTGTGTTATTTTATTTTATCAATTTATTATTTTATTCTCATTCTACGTGACTTTACCGAAAGAACCAAAGAAGAAGGAGGAGGATTTCTCCACATTTCTGGCTATCGCCTGATGAGGCTGGTTGTAATATACCGGTGAAACGTCGCACTCGAATTGTACATATTGTGGATTTACTCTCCGACACAACCGATGTGCTGAACTAGTAGCTAATTGGCATGTTTTGGTGAAGTGACAAACCTTACGAATTGGCGGTGTAAAGTGGTGGTGGTTTTAACGACACATTTGTATTCACGCGATCTAACCCACAAACCTCTATTTTGGATATTGGTCGTGAAAGCCTACACGTTAAAAAACACAGCAGGCAGACTGCTGAGGCAGGAAGAAATATGCGATCTTACATTCACTTGCAAATTCCATCTCTAGCCCCGCCCACTTACCCTTGGGTTGTACCCATCTCAAACCTTTATAACCTTTGGCTGTAGTAGCTCTCTCACTTTATTTCTTCCTGCCTCAGCAGTCCGCCTGCTGTATTTTATCACCTGAAGACGATTGCTTGTGTTGTGACCGAAACGTCGTGATTGTTTTTATTTTTTTTCTATCTACGTCACTTTACCGAAAGACCCAAAGAGTATTAGTAGTACCGTTAAGTAAAAGTATGTAAAATGGTTTATAAATAACAAGGTAAACGAATGAACAGACGAAAAACTAAATTAGGCTCAGAATAAGCCCTTCAGGATAATACCCTTTGGTCAAAGTTAATTTGGTTATTTAATTTCAATATCTACTGCATAATTCGTATGTCCTATGTTAACATTTGGCTATAATTGTAAACATAGAAAATATGATTAAACTACCCCAAACATGCAATTAAAACTTGCATCTTTAAATGTAATTATATTACAATATAAATATAACGCAGTGCAACTAATGCTTCTCACATTTTGGGGAGCATTAAAAAACATTGTCATCACAAAGAAGAAGAATGCTTTCTCAGCACGTATCTGCGTATACTCAATGCTTGTCACACATTACATAGATGTAAAAATCACGATATTTATGTCCTGTTATATTTATCTGGACACATCACATACAGCCAGTGCCCGAGATACGAACGTTTGACTTACGAACACCAGCACTTAAGAAGGAACCTCCACAGAATGTTCTCATTTTTGAAACCATCCGACTTGTGAACGTTCAGTCGTACTTAAGAGCCGAACCGCGGGACTCCTCCGCGGGATGTAATGAGTCCAAGCAATCCCGCTTGAAAAGAGGTGTCAGTGATATTTTCTTTCAACAGACGTTTAAAGGGTGGCACTCAAGGACAGTCGTGCACCCAACAGCGCCAGCACGCCTCTGTGCGGGTGTTGACGCGGTTCTACACAGAGAGTGCCGATGGCACGGATCATGTGTCCACGTTGCCTGGAGCCGATTGGCTGGCCGACGTAACCCACTTGGTGCGTAACAACCTGTGGGTGCTCGACGGACGAGTGGCCGAGCTGCGCGAAGGCACGGTGCTGAAGGGCCTCGAACCCGGCTCAACCATTATTCAGGTGAGCGCATTTGACGTTGCGGGTATTTAATTTTTTACCTGGACGCAGCCGTGGTGTAACGGTTAGCACACTGGACTTATAATGCAGAGGTCGCCTGTTTTATTTGCCGGAGCGGCCGTTGAAATATTCATGCAAGTTTCTGAAATCTCCTCCGTCCCGGTCCACCCGGAGGTGTAAATGGGCACACCACAGTCAGTCGATCAGGAGGTCGCGGTTGTTGGAGTCAAATGTGGATACTCCCGCCTCTTCCTAAATGTTCAGCCAGCGTGGAAGAGTAGGCCAAATACCCTCTCGAGAGGCCCTCCAGAGCTTCCTCTCTTGGAGGCCCCTCCACTAGCATTGGCATGAGGCAAGTAAATCACAAATGAAATGAAAAAGAGCGAACCACAAAAAATCATCAATTTATTGGATTGTGACTACTGATTCAATTGCTGGGAGGTAAATCATTACTCATCTAAATTATACTGTAGTTTTGTTTTTTGATCATCTAAATGTCATTGTCTATATATAAAACTAGCAAATACTATTATGTATGTTAACGTTCAAGCTTCATAACCAATCACATTAACTGCAGATGCAGGTGAACATTGCAAAATAAGATCATCCTTCCTCCGTTAAAGAAGCAAAAAAACTGGTATTGAAAAGTAAATCACATTTAATTTTTGTTTTATCACCGTCCTATGTGGAATAGATTATATTGGATGGATAATGTATTTTTGTTACACAAATGGCTCCATTCCCACAACAGTCGAGATTTTGAGGCCAACTGCAATGGCTATAAACAACATGATGCCTGTGCGATGACAACACGGTGCACTTATATGTATCTGGCAGCTCTCTTTATTCTCCAATCAAGCACCATGCCAAGTAACGTGTGGGAATATTAAACTAAATGCCAGACAGTAGAGCCTCTCAGAGCCTGTTTTAGATGAGAGTGAAAGTGTTCATGGAGACCCATACTTAGGAATTAACCCCGAGGTGCCTTTTGCATCACCATCAATTTCCTTAGACTGACATGCACCTTGACATTTAGTCAGAAAACTGTTCCTACACTTAAACCAGAAGGCAGCAACCCCTTTTGTTCCATGGGAGTTCAGAAATAAAAAAAGGCCACTGCTGCAACTGCTGTGCCGGGAGATCAACCATGGCGACCTATGAATCGCAAGTGTGGTGCGCTGACCTTTTAAACCACGACAGCAAAGAGTTGCATCTGAGTTCTGAGAAAATACATAGAAGAAGAGGGAACTTTGACTTTTGAGGCAGGCAGTGTGCTGCAGGTTTGCATCATGTATATATTGTGCGTGCAATGTAAAGTTTAAACGGAAATTAAAAACATCAATCTTACTGCATATACCAACGTGTTTACACGACAATGGCTCTGCAAGCTTTGCGAACATGAATAGAATAGATGCAGGTTGTTTGCCTGGAGAAAATGTATAGATTGCAAATTGATTTTTTTTTTACATTTGCTTTGCCGGGAGTGATTCATTAGTTGCTGTAATGACCTAAGCTTATGCAATAACCACGTTTTCTTTGCAAAATCTGTTCAATTAGTTGACGTCACTACCAGCTTAACGTGATCATGCAATAGAACGTGCATTTGCTAATGTGCTGTCTAAATTAACCTGCATTTGAAGAGAGCTGTACATAATTAATAGAAAGAAGCAGTCATCGGCAAAGGGAACTAGAAAGGCCTCGAGTGTGGACTTGAATTGTAACAAGGGAATCCCTCTTTGCATGGCTGAGTTTGGAGGGATGGGAGACCGTAACCCTCTCGAGGCTGCTACCGAGGAAAGGGAGGTTTTTGCGATGGGACGGATGGTTCCTTGGGTGTTGGGGGTTGGGGTGGTGTCTTGCGTGGGTTTGTTCAGGATGTGAGGGAGGGCAGCTGTGTCGAGAGCTAAATTAATGATACCAGATGAGATGGAGGCATTGACGAAGCTGCTAAAGAAAGGGGGCCAGGGTGGGTTGGCGGTGTTGTTCGGCATGATGTCCGAGATTTCGTTTCCACGTTCTGCTTGACTGATTATTCAGAAACTAAAGCTCCTGGCACATGGAGAAAAAAACAATCAGGCATAATGCCAAACAACAACAACATGCTGTACAACCCGAAAACACATCGGAGAGCTCTGCATTACAAACCGCGCAAAATCGCATTCCGCAGATTTATTATTATTATTACCGATTGATTCCCCCTCCCCCTCCCACCTTCCAATTCGTGTTTTCTGTTGTGCCAGGTTCTGTCACCTGTGTCCGGCGGCGTGCTGGGGGAGCGCGCGGTGACGGTGAGCGAGGAGAAGGTCTCCGTGAGCGGGCTGCACGTGACGCTGCTCTCGGGCCTCTCCCTGTCGCTGCGAGCCAGCAGCAGCGAGCCGGGCGTCGTCGTCGCCAGCACCACCGCGCAGCACGGCCTGCACTCGCTCAAGCAGGTGATTGGCTTTGGGTGTCCGGGCCCAAAGGAAGCGAGGGGGCCCTGTGATTGCTTGCTCACAGCATTGCTGACGAAAGCACCTCTGCTCGAGGAAGCCCTCGAGTGTCCCTACGCGGGATATTATGTCCTACTCTTCCACGCTAGCTCAAAGGAAGCTTTCCTTATCCTACCGTTTTTTTTTATTAACTAAGGTGGAAAGGGATTGTACGTGTGTGTGTGTGTGTTGAACTTCTTTCGCACCGTACGTAGCCAACCGTGCGAAGGTTAAGGCTACCCCCAGGTACGCGGGCCGTGCGTGCAGCCCACATTACTTCCCCTTTTGAATGCTTTCCAACAAAGGTGGGAAGGTATTCTATGCATGTGTGTTGAACTTCTTTCGCAACGTACGGAACCAACCATGCTAATCGGAGGTGTGGGAATTCATTGGATTTCTCCGTCTGTCTGTCTCTCTGTCTGTATGTCCGTCTATCCATCTACAACACGGGGTCACGACGATTCTCGTAAAAGATTATCTGACCTGAACGGAACCGCCGTGTAAAGCCAGCGTCGCTATTAGGGACTTAACGTCGAGGAAATTGACCACGTTGATCAAGGGGTTGCCAAAAAGTCAATTTGCTCTCTTGGCAAATTCTTTCACCCTAAAAGCTTCCCCATCTGCCTGCATACCGCAAATTGTATTCTTCCAAAAACAAACACTAATCGTGCACCACGATTTTTCTTCTAACTTTACTACAAGGAATGTATGTACATGTTATTTGTAAACTGACATACGTACAGTAGCTATAAAGTTGTCCTGCTGTCTTGAAAAAATTATATCACAATCTTGGCTCTTTTAAAGCGAGTCTGCAGAACATGTGTAATGATGGCGGTGCCTTCCAGACAGGCAAAGCATGGTTGTTATGTTTATTGTTGAAGATATATCTCGACAGATATAATCAACTGTTGATTTAAAGCTTTCGTGACTGCAGGGATTAATATTCTTGGTTCTTTCGGTAAAGCCACGTCGAAGTTTTCACACCTGATGATGATTGCTTGTGTTGCAGTCGAAACGTCGTGAGAATTTTATTGTTTTATATTTTTTATTATTTTATTGTTTCCCTTCTACGTGACTTTACCGAAATAACCAAAGAAGACGTTACCATTAGTATTCGTGGTGATGTTCGTGTGGACCCTGTATTTTTTCTAGTCGCGTAGTATTAATGACCATTGATGCACTGTGTGAATATTGGCACATTGATGGTTCAGCACAGCCAGCACCCAAGAGGCTGCCACAATAGGCATGGCTCGCCGACAATTGATGGACAAGTTCAACGTAACGAGTGCGCGAATTCTGGTGCACGAGCCAAAGGTGGTGGCAATTTGAGCTTCATGTTTGTCATCTAGGAGAGCAGTAGCACAGTAGTTACCACACTGGTGCAATTCGCTGCTGAAATCAGCGCCATTCCATATCAGAACTAATCCCGGCCTTCCCTCCACCCTATTCACCAACGTGCACTGACCAGCACGGTGAAGTATGATTAAACAGCCTCCATGACTGATGCAGCGTGGGAAGGCCTTTATTCAGCAGTGGACTGACAAAATCTTATAAATAATTGTGTTATTTACTATTGTATACCGTATAATATGCATACACAAAACTAATTAATTTTAGTTATGGACTAACAAAATAAAGGCCAGGCATGCAGGGCCATTATTCGCGAATGATGTGCAAAGTTATTTATTATGTTTTTGAAACTGGTAATTGAGTTTTTAACATTTATACTTGCCTTATACAAGTATAATATGTGCTTTGGATTTCTGAAAAATTGGTGCTTTCCCCACTCGTAAAAACACAAAATTATTCCGTTTTCTTGTAGAAAGCATCTCTGCTCATCTGGGTAGAATTTGAAGACAACACAATGGTGCCACTGAGCCTCTTCAGCACAAAGGACTATAATCTTACCATCAACAACGTGGACAGACGAGCAGCATCTATCAATGCGGAAAATCTGTCTTGGGAACCAATTTTCCAAGCCAAATGGGATGGAAATGAAAAACTGATTCAAGTGGTGCTGCAAAATCCACAGCCCTGTTGGGATGACGATGCTGAACCCGCTATGTTCTCAACGTCCGTCGAAGTCCTTGTGAAATTTGGTCAAAAGAGAGAAGAGGGGGAGGAAGGAGGTGCGAGTAAAACTCCAGACGCCGGCAAAAATCAATACGTTAAGAACGTCAGCCAAATCAGCACATCCTCTACAGCGATTGGAGCGAAGACTCAAACGGAGATTGTGAAAGCGGCCAGGAACAGCTCGCGACACACGGTAGGTCCCAAGGGACATGGAGGGAAGGAGAGCGTCAGTGATGGAGGTGCTATCGGCCCGGCACAACACGGCAGCAGTGGCTCATCTGAGAGAAAGCCGAGAGGTCTCTCCGATATCCAGATTGGAATGTACACCTTGCTGACAGTATTCTGCATCGCCATCCTGATGTTTCTGATCAACTGCTTAATATACGCGGTGAAGTACAGGCGCAGGCGTGTCCACCTGGGGAGTCAAGAGGTCGCTCACAGCCACGAATGGATCTGCCTCAGGGACAGTCAGGAATCGGCCGTCAGTACTCTAAACAAGGACACTAACTCACAGCTCGCCAAGCAGAAGCATAAATACGTGGGAGGTCCACAGGTGTACCTCCAGGCCAGCGAGAAGGTGTCTACTGAGGCGTACGTGACGCAGGGGGAATGCAGGAGCGGGATTCCTCGTACATCTCCTCTTCGGAAGAATTCCATATTTACAACAATCTGGGTGACGAGCAACAGCAGTAAGGCACAGGCGGCTGCTAGCCCTTCTCGTTCTGCCAGAGATGAGATCGCATTATCATATTCCCGTGACGTTTGTTGATAGTAACAAAAATATATATATAGGATACAACCGAAAAAAATATACATGACGTGGCATGAGAGAACTTTGGATATTTTGGTGATGTATCATAATCGGCTTGTAAAATAGTAAAATAATGGGCAACATTGGCCAGCTGTTGTAGTATGTGTATAAGATTACAATTTGCAAAAGTAACATTGTCATTTGTGATAATCTTCTCTAATCTCTACAAATGATATCAAGGATAACTACGTACAAATCTCGGCACACAGTTAAACATGCACATTTATCCATAAAGGTGTGTAATGTACATCGTTATTTGCACGAATTTAAGCTTTAATGATCCATTTTTTAAAGTAAATGCTGTTTTCACTGATGTTGATTTTACTTTAGCATACTGAAATAAATGGTTGCCTGTTACATTCCTTTACACCGACGCATCGTTGCCATTAATAGGTGTGGACATACCATCCGAGACTGTTTAAGGTGATGTTTTTAAACAACACATTAACATAACTTTAATCATCTAAATCAACCTTCCTTCACGGCTCCCAGAGCATTCGCATTCAGTGCGGCCAGTTCGCTTAATGGAATGATTTATGGCTCTCTCTTTAATTGGTATTTGTCTATCAAAGGGATTGGGAGGGGCTGTTAATGAATCCCCTCGTAGACTGAGTATACAATTTTATTTTCTACCACGTTGTCGAGGGAATAGATGAGATTGAAAACTTAAATAGGGTGTTTAACTGTAAATGTTTCTAAGGAGCCTTGGGCAGGGCCACCAGAGAACGCGAGGGCGTAGAAGGAGCGAGTGCTGTGAGCAGGTAATAACGAAGATTACAGTGTACCTCAAACGTGATGTAGCCGTTGCAATTACGGAAGGAACCAGGAGAGCAAGGCAATTTAATGGTACCGACATCCAGTCAGCACCGCATTCGTAAATCACCATCATAAGCAGCCATTTTCTATCCACTGCTGAAGGAAGCCCCCCCCCCTCATACTTTTGCTTTCCCCTCGCGGTTCTACGATGCCCAACAATCCATCTCGCTCCCATCTCCATGGTGGTTCTCTCCCCTGGGTGCATTCCCTCGCTATTTGGCTGTCCTTCTGTCACCAGCGTCATCCATCGGCCCTCATCGTCCCTTCTTGTCACGCGTCTTGCTCCTTAATCTCGAATAACTGTCCAGAGCAGTCATTATGTTGTCTCTGAATTTGATTTTGTTCACTGATCGATGTGTCCCTCTTTCTCTCTCTCTCTCGGTGTAATTCGTAGCATGGATATCTCGATTCTTCTTTATGTCACTTCTTGAGAATTTGTTTAATGTTATTTTTCGGTGTTCCGTGCTTCTGATACGTTTGTAATAGCTGGCAATGTGCTAATTTAAAGTCTTCTTGGTATGTGGCATTTCATTTTCAGGTTCAGCTTTTATCAAGATCTTCATCCTGCACATATTCACCTCTTTTTTAAGAACTTGATTCTCATCTGCGTTAATTATTTGCCCGAGTTATACACCCACACTTTACTGTTTCAAGTTGCAAACTTGTTGTACATGATGTACAACATGGCACCTTTAGGAGAACATCAAAATTGCATGGTAATTCGCGAAACTGCTTTTTAAATGTATTCAGAACACAGTTTACTCCCACATCTGTCTTTAGTTTCCAAAAGATTGACTTCATTTCCAGAGAACAGATATCCTTGGGTAAATGTGTTCTTCTATCAAAGATAATTAAGCAAAAATAAGGTGAGTGTAAACTTGTGCAATTAAACGCCTGCATATAAAATATTTTGCATCAAGGGGCAGCGCAATATTAATTGGTTTTACCAACTATAATCGCCAACACAAACAACTCGCCAAGAACGGCCATGATCAATCCACTACTGGGCGTAAGGGCCTCTCCTAAACCATCACAAACCTCTCACTGGCAACTGTGATGAGTACAGGGACTCCTCTGCTTACGAACGAGTTAGGTTCCAGATGTCTGTTCATGAGTCGATTTGTTTGTAAGTCCAACTTTCCTCCTGTCGATTCCAAAAATGTTGTACGGCATGTACACTAAACACGGGGAATGAGTTTTAAAGTTGTATCATCTTCTGTAGATGTAGATGCCACTGGCTCTTGATGCTCTGCAGATGTAGATGCCACTGGTTCGTCACGTTCTGCAGGTGTAGATGCCACTGGTTCTTCACGTTCTACAGATGTAGATGCCACTGGTTCTTCACGTTCTGCAGATGTAGATGCCACTGGTTATTCATGTTCTGCAGATGTAGATGCCACTGGTTCTTCACGTTCTGCAGATGTAGATGCCACTGGTTCTTCGTGTTCTGCAGATGTAGATGTTACTGGTTCTTCGTGTTCTGCAGATGTAGATGCCACTGGTTCTTAACGTTCTGCAGATGTAGATGGCATTGGTTCTTCACGTTATGCAGATGTAGATGCCACTGGTTCGTCATGTTCTGCAGATGTAGATGCCACTGTTTCTTAATGTTCTGCAGATGTAGATGCCACTGGTTCTTCACGTTCTGCAGATGTAGATACCACTGGTTCGTCATGTTCTGCAGATGTAGATGCCACTGGTTCTTTACATTCTTCAGATGTAGATAACACTAGTTCTTCACGTTCTGCAGATGTAGATTCCACTGGTTCATCATGTTCTGCAGATGTAGATGCCACTGGTTCTTAATGTTCTGCAGATGTAGCTGTCACTGGTTCTTCACGTTCTGCAGATTTGGATGTCACTGGTTCTACACGTTCTGCAGATGTAGATGCCACTGGTTCTTCACGTTCTGCAGATGTAGATGCCACTGGTTCTTCACGTTCTGCAAACGTAGATGTCACTGGTTCTTCACGTTCTGCAGATGTAAATGCCACTGGTTCTTCACGTTCTGCAGATGTAGATGCCACTGGTTCTTCACGTTCTGCAGATGTAGATGCCACTGGTTCTTCACGTTCCGCAGATGTAGATGCCACTGGTTCTTCACGTTCTGCAGATGTAGATGCCACTGGTTCATAACGTTCTGCAGATGTAGACGACACTGGTTCTTCACGTTCTGCAGATGTAGATGCCACTGGTTCTTAATGTTCTGCAGATGTAGATGGCACTGGTTCTTAACGTTCTGCAGATGTAGACGACACTGGTTCTTCACGTTCTGCAGATGTAGATGCCACTGGATCGTCATGTTCTGCAGATGTAGATGCCACTGGTTCTTAATGTTCTGCAGATGTAGATGCCACTGGTTCTTCACGTTCTGCAGATGTCACTGGTTCTTCGCGTTCTGCAGATGTAGATGCCACTGGTTCACGTTCTGCAGATTTAGATACCACTGGTTCTTCACGTTCTGCAGATGTAGATGCCATTGGTTCTTAACGTTCTGCAGATGTAGATGTCACTGGTTCTTCACGTTCTTCAGATGTAGATGCCACTGGTTCTTCACGTTCTGCAGATGTAGATGCCACTGGTTCTTCACGTTCTGCAGATGTAGATGCTACTGGTTCTTCGTGTTCTGCAAATGTAGATGTCACTGGTTCTTCACGTTCTGCAGATGTAGATGCGACTGGTTCTTCACTTTCTGCAGATGTAGATGCCACTGGGTATTCATGTTCTGCAGATATAGATGCCACTGGTTTTTCACGTTCTGCAGATGTAGATGCCACTGGTTCTTCACGTTCTGCAAATGGAGATGCTACTGGTTCTCCGTGTTCTGCAGATGTAGATGACACTGGTTCTTCACGTTCTGCAGATGTAGATCCCACTGGTTCTTCATGTTCTACAGATGTAGATGCCACTGGTTCTTCATGTCCTGCAGATGTAGATGCTACTGGTTCTTCATGTTCTGCAGATGTAGATGCTACTTGTTGTACATATTTTGCAAATGTAGATGCCAATGGTTCTTCATGTCCTGCAGATGTAGATGCTTCTGGTTCTTCGTGTTCTGCAGATGTAGATGCCACTGGTTCTTCACGTTCTGTTCGATGTAGATGCTCATTCCCTTTGGTGCTCGTCTTTCCTCTATTCTCTTAAAAAAACTCACCAAGAGATATCTGCACAGTGCTCGCTTCTTCTCTTCATAAATCAACTTGTAACAGGCAATAGCATCGTGAATAGCTGCAACTCGGCACGCGGACAGCTTTTTCTGAGATCTTGCATGGAGCCCCAGGCCGAGGGAGATTGACAGTTCTTTTCTGTTTCTTCCATTTGCGAATAATCGCACCAACTGTTGTCACCTTCTCTCTAAGCTGCTTGGCAATAGTCTTGTAGCCCATTCCAGCCTAGTGTAAGTCTACAATCTTGTCTCTGACATCCTTGCAGAGATATTTGGTCTTGGCCATGGTGGAGAGTTTGGAATCTGATTGATTGATTGCTTCTGTGGACAGGTGTCTTTTATACAGGTAACAAGCTGAGATTAGGAGCACTCCCTTTAAGAGTGTGCTCCTAATCTCAGCTCGTTACCTGTATAAAAGACACCTGGGAGCCAGAAATCTTTCTGATTGAGACGGGGTCAAATTATTATTTCCCTCATTAAAATGCAAATCAATTTATTACATTTTTGACATGCGCTTTTCCGGATTTTTGTTGTTGTTATTCTGTCTCTCACTGTTCAAATAAACCTACCATTAAAATTATAGACTGATCATTTCTTTGTTAGTGGGCAAATGCACAAAATCAGCAGGGGATCAAATACTTTTTTCCCTCACTGTACATACTTCATACATATATATGATACCCACGTGTTCCTCTTTCTGTCTCTCAATGTGATTCCGAGCATGCATCTCTCCGCGCTTCTTTGCGAAAAATTTTTAACTGTTGTATTCTCTAAGTCAATGTCCTTGTTTCTGATCCACATGTCATAGTTAAAAGCTCTCTTCTTTCTGAACAGTTGTCTTCTGCCCAAATAGAAGTGGAGCCTAAAATGTACAGCTCATAGCTCCCATATTAAGCTTTCATTGCTTGCTAGCTTAATCAGTAGACATCAATTTATATTTAATTCCATAGTATTTTGGTCAAAAAATGCTCAGGTCATTTGTTCTCGTGTGAAATCCAGATTAATCTTCTCTGCCAATGCGATTATATTATCATTGTCCACACATTTGGTCCCAATTGGAAACACATCTTTTCCTCTTACCAATGTGTAATTTGCTGCGTCCTTCAAAAAATATTTAGCGGATATAATACAAAAGGAAAGTTTTGAACGTCGTCTACTTATGTATAACGTGTAACAGTAATATTTGTATATTAAAAGTTCCATGCTGTCCCGCGCATTGGTACGTTATTGCAAATTGTGCCAGTTCAGTTTGTTCCCTTCTCATTTCTGTGGTCCTATTAAGTTAATATGGCAGCTTGAGCCTTTTGTTTTTTTACAAAAAAAATTGAAAGCTGCTAAAATAAAAACTCTGGCTTACGTATGTTATCGTCAACAATAAAGTGTGACTCTAAGGTTCTTTGTTGCATTAGATTTTGTAAAAAACTTTTTAATCATATTCAAATAAAAAATGTAAGAACTATTTTTGTATTGCTGCAGAGAGAGAGAGAAAATGAACTTCACCGCATTGTTATTAAATAAAAAGTTTGGTTGCCTAAATGATATATGAATTTCGATTTAAAGCTTTTGTGACTGCAGGGATTCATCTTCTTGGTTCTTTCGGTAAGTTGTAACGCAACACAGGACAGAGCAGCGCATCGTGGCTGTTTCTCTCTCTCTCCCCCCTCCTCCGTTCCGAGCATAGATGGACTCGTCCGTCTGAACAAAGCTCGTCGCTTTCCGTGGTGCTAACGTTGAGAAAAAATAAAAAAGAAACCGCCACTTTTTTCGACATAGAATTGTAATGTTAGTAGCTCAGCTGATTGGAGAGTATATTGAGTTCATTGATTATATTGATGTACTTTATATTTAGTTCTTTCACATCGGTTTATTGTATGATAGTTGGGCAGTTGCAGTTCTTTAGCGTCAATATACTAAATGCCTCTGTTGATATGTAAACTCTGACTTTAACATAGCTACTTCCATGACCAGTTACATGCTAATCCTTCACACTAACATCATGCTAATCTCCCAGTTACATGCTAGTTTCTGACTTTAACATCCTGCTAATCTCTCACATTAACACGGCTACTTCAATGCTAAATTCTTCTGTTGATATGTAAACTCCTTTGTCAAGGCGCTCTGCTCCTCCCACCCAGCTTAAAATACGCTGCCAAGCTTAGCAGTGTTCATTGGAGCGCTGTCTTTCCGACAGTTCTGTTTCTTCACCTGAGGAAGGCTACTTGTGTTGTGGCCGAAAGTCATGAGAATTGTATTTTATTGTTTTATTTTTATTATTTTATTATTTCCCTTCTACGTGACTTTACCGAAAGAACCAAGAAGATAAATGAATTCCATAGTAGAGGTTTTTTGGGGGGGTTAGATCGCGTCAATATATAAATGTTGTGTCGTTAGAACCCGCCACCACCCGACACAGCCAACTAGTAAGGGTTGTCACGTAAACAAAACGTGGCCAATTCGTCACTAGTACAGCACACCGGTGTGTTGGAGAGCCAAGCCACAACATAAATGAAATGCTGGTTTTAAAAAAATGGCCAAAAATATGTAAAATGTTGCATTTTATTTTGTGGGGAGGGAAGGGAATTGGGAATGAGGGGGAGATGGAAGGAGGGGGTGAGGGAGAGAGGGGGAGATGGAGGGGGAGAGGGAGGCGGCGAGACATTGGCACTCAAAGTCGTTTCAATAAAAAAAAGCCATTCTGGATATTCTCGTAAGTAATAGTGAACATCACTCAATGGTGCAGTGCTTGTTCCACAGCAGGAGGCATCGCCTGAGCCGAGCACCACAAATGCACGGAGAGTGTGTGTCACGCTGCTATAAGTATTTGCAATACCAAACAAAACGCTGCGACCCCAAGGAGAGCGTGCTCTGCACGGCACCTTTGATGTGCACAGCCTGAGCAACACTTCACCGGCAAACTTTGACGCGTTATAATTGCGTGACCGGAGCGGCAATTGGTCTCACGTTAGCGCATCCTCCAGGATTTATACGATGCCGTTGTAGAGTAATGAAGAGCCCACGACTTGTGCCTTTAGTGTCAATAAAGTTACACAGATATGCTCGGAATGCACACACGGCTACGAGATCATGTATGTATGC